TTTGGTTCGAACCGAGATAGGGTTTATCTGGGATTTCAGTTCCTTTGGCCTTAGGACTTCATGTGAAGTTATCAAAGGATGTTTTTGGATGTTTCTGACCTCATTTGACTTGTTGGAAGTCAAATTCCTTCCTCCTTGGGTAAAATGACCATTTTACCCTTGGTCCTTCCTTTGGTAAGGTTTTTATACCCTTGTCTTTATTTTGCTTCCGCACTTTGCTCCTTCGGATTCCGTGACCTCATGAAAGGTTATCAAAGGGTCTTAGAAGTGTGTTATGCCTTGGGAGATCATTGTCTTGTTTCTTACTTCCGCATCTGGATCCGTTAATGGGTCAATCTTAGCCTCATCACTGTAGTACTAGGTTGAATCAAAACCCGGGTCGTTACAATTAGTCAATTAAATTGAACGATATATGTTTCAAAATAGGCTAAACACCTGGTCAACAAAAGAAGTTTTCAATAGGTTTAAAGATGAGGTTGTGGGTTGTCCAATACTTCTTCTCCATTCCCTGATATAAGTAGAGGAATGAGCACAATAGCTCAGTAGAGATTGCCTAAGTGGAAACTCCTCAACTTAAGTAAGTAAATTGCATGCTTTACACGTACAATAAAGAATAGGGAAAGGATAATGGGACCATGTTATAAGCTTCACAATGCCATTTAATCCATCAAGATATCATTATCTTCAACTCAATGTAATGAAATGCATGGAAAGCATTATGCAACCGCACACCACACATACACATACTCACGACATCATATACTCACACCGAAAACGTACAAATTAGCCGGACTTTGAATACCTCCCTCCGTCCCTATGGTGATTTGCTATCATCCCTGAAAAAAGGGTACCTCCCAATTACTATTTAGGGCCCGAATCGCTAAATTCCTCACGAGTACCTCCCGTGGCCTATTAACTAATTAGCACCACCGACAAAGGGGTACATCCCCAAATGCCGGGTTTGAGAAAAGAATTTCTCAAAAACTTTCCAAATTCACAATTCCAGAATTTTACACACATCTCTACACACCCACACCATGTTATTCATGGAATGCCAACTATGCCATGAGTATAAAGTACACCATGCTTGAACAATTCTATTTCTTATTATAAATTCACAACTCCATGACAATTTAGGCTTACAATAACATTCAACTTATAGAATTGGCATCCCATAAGAAATGGCATAACATTTAGCATGCTAAACATAACCATGTCATCATATATTCGACATCAATTAGTTATATTTTCCAACACATAGCAATTTGATGCCATGATGTTCATAATTTACACATACTATACAACCACATATAAGATATCAATTGAATAAGAAACTCACCACACATAAAACCCTAGAAAGCATATATGCAAATAACATCAAATTGGCTTGCTTGAGTGGGGGAAAAACCATGAAACTACCTACAAAACTAAAGGAAAATGCAACTTAAACAACTCTATCTCAAAGGATCCAAGAAGCCCCAATTTCGAAATCCACAAGGTCCTCTAATTAATTGCAACTTTGTTTAGATCAAAATGAAGCCCTCGTCGAGCTCAACAAGATTGCCTTTTATGGCAAAGATCAAATCCAAGTGGAAAGGGTTGAAATCAAGCCTTTAAGATGTGTGTTTTGTGTTCGATTTAGAGAGATAAAGAGAGGAAGGAAGGCATGACCGGAAGAAGAAAGAAAAATGCGGAAAAGGTAATAGTCTTCCCCTTTTGTCACATGTAAAGTCAACCATTGGGTCCTACTTTTGACCAACAATAGTTTAAAATGCCTCTCACATGAAATATATACTATAACATGCCACGCACATTTGTACATTTAAACACTTACACACATACATATGCACCAAATAATGATTATGAATTGCAAATGGACTTAAAAAGATTACCGGAAATGTATTTTTAAAAGTTTTAACGTTCAAGAAATGCCCCAAATGAACAATGAGACCCACACGGAAATCAATGCGCAAAAATAAAATAATTATTAAAAATAAAAATCAAAAATCAAAAAATACGGAATATCACACCCATGTCTTTTTACTATAATCATCAATGAAAGTGAGAAAATAATGATTACCTAGAAGTGATGTTGTATTCGTAGGTTAACATAAATCAGAGCGTAGCAACTCAAGTGGATAAGAAGCTCTATGAGCCTTCCCAATCGGAAAAGATTTCTTTGATGCTTTCCAAGTGCACATCCTTCAAAAACCTGCACTTGATGATCAAGTCTAGCATTCTCGTCACAAAATTCTTCTCGCATTTTTAGACAATGTATTAAAAATCAAGTGCCATAACGAAGATGCCATAGCCATGAAGAATTTTTCACGAGTGCACTTAAGCACGCTGATTTCTCATATCGGATACTCAAAGCAAACATATTGTTTGGGGACATCTGTAGCTTCGTAATTAGAGTATTGTCCTTGTCTCTAATTACACAAAGATCATCCTTAAATTGAATGTCATGTCCTTTCCGAATAAGCTGGCCAACACTTAAAAGATTGTAATTCAAATCTGGAACATAGAGCACATTGGAGATCTGCTTTCGTTCTCATTTCTTTGAAAGAAAAAAGAATATCTCCGCATCCTTTGGCCAAAAGCTTTTTATCATCACCGATTTTGACCTGAGATTGAATTATTTTGTCAAGATTGATAAATGCTTCTTTGTTTCTAGTCATGTGATTGTTGTAAGCACTATCAAGATACCATGTGTCACCTTGAAAATTTTCACTAACTTTGCAAGCAAGCAAAATCATTTTATCATCCTCTTTCTATGAATTTTTTAATTTCATGCATGAAACTTGATTCCACTCCTTCTTCGGACTTAAATATGCAATATGCCTTGGTGTGTCCATATTTCTTGCAATTTTAACATTGAATTTGAGATAGATTAGAGCGGTGACCTCTTCCTCTACCTCTCCCTCTTGAGTGAACATTGTTGCTTGAAGGCCCTTGAGTATAAAATTCTTTTTCATTTGCATAGCCGACACCACGACCCCGCACATTTATTCCTCTACCACGATTTGACCCACCTCTTCCTCTTCCTCTTCCTCTTCCTCTTCCTTTAAAAGAGACTTGGGGTTGAAAAGCTTGCTCAAGAGGATATGAGTTAAATTGCTTCAGGCGGAATTCATATGATTGAAGTGAACCCATCAAACTATCCAAAGACAAAGAAGACAAGTCTTTAGATTATTCAATTGCCACCACAATATATTCAAATTTTTGAGTCATGCTACGAATAATTTTTTCCATAACCCGACCTTTTGTCTTCAATTTGTTCTCCATTAACTCTTTCATTCGCAACATGTCAAATTCACCTCAAAGTGTTTGCAATCTTGCCATTTTCACTTTATCTTCTCCTTTGTATGAAACTTAAAGTGTGTCCCAAGCTTGCTTTGCCGATGAAACCAATGAAATTCTTTCAAAAATAACTTCACCTACAACTTGATAGATAAAAAAAACAATGCCTTCTTATCTTTCTTGAGATTTTATTTCAACTCACTCAGTTGTTGTGGAGTGAGAGTTGTTTGACCCATTGGCTCCGTATAACCAGTCTCAATAATCTCCCATAAATCTTGGGATCCATACATGACCTTCATTTGGATGCTCCATCGAGTGTAATTCTTCCCATTAAATCTTGGAAGTTGGGGCTGCAACATGTTGTTGTTGGAAGCCATTGATCTGGAACTGTGCTCTAATACCACTACGATGGGACAAAGGAAAGAATAATGGAGCTTTAAAGAGACTGAACTTGATATCTTGACTACAAATCACAAAACAAATGAAGGTTTATGTATACTATAACTTGAAAGTTTTGATTTCACTCTATTTGACTTTATTTTGAAAGAGATACAAGCCTCTATTTATAAGCTGCACCTTTAATACAAATTTACTAACATTCATCTCCCTTTTTAATGATTCCTCTCCCCTAACATGATTCATTTCCATAAACAACCATTATTGTAAATCCAAAAGTTACACAAGAAAATACATTAACCATAATCAACTATGCCTATATGTAGGACCCTGCATGTATGTAGAAAAACAAAATAACAACACTGTTTCTGGCATTGATCATCCCAGTCCCCTTTGGCTACTCATCTTTCTCTCCTTCTTTAGATTAGGTGGTTTGTTTTTTTTTGGCTTGTGGTCTTTGGACCTTCCGGACTTCCCCTCCCCTCTTTGTTTATTGTTTTCTCCTCTTATCTTACATTGATTTAAGGGAAAAAAAAAAAAAAAAAAAAAAAAAAAAAAAAAAAAAAAACGTATTGAAGTGTATATAAAAATAAAAAAAAATGTATATATTTTTAAAGTTCAAAAAATTAAAATGCTTTTGTAATTTATATAATAGTAAGTATAAATGATTAATTAATTAAAATAAAAGAGTTGTCTATAATTAAGAAGGTAACCCTTAATATTTTTTTATTAATTTTAAAAACGTATTAAATGTATATAAAATTTAAAAATCTGTACACCACCGACATAAAACTTTCCAGTCCATGCAAGATCTCATATATTAAACCCTTCGGAAACAAAAGAAAAAAAGATCTCATATATTTTAGGAATTTCATATTCTAATAGGCAATTTCTTTACTACTACTGATTACCTGATATAGTCTTATGCAATTAAGTCTACAATTTCCAAAATTATTATTATAGAAACTTCACCCTGGTAAATTATTTAAAACTCTTCTTCTTCATGTGACCTACCTACACCCTAATCAACCCCATCACAAAGATCAAGAGTTTTCTACAGAGGCCATCTTTACATGTTCACTATAGTTGATCTTCTACTTCCCTTGTAATTGGTGTTATTTATATAGCCACTCTCTTTTCATTCTCTATCAAAACAAGTGTCTGTATATATACAAGTTATGTTTCTTTACTTGAAATCTTCCTTATTTTCATTACCTCAAAACTTTTTCATTGATTTAACTTTTTCCTAGTAAACAAACAAGTTGGTAATCTAGGTATATGTCTTAAAATTGATGCTATTTAAGATGCATAGGAACAATGGCGCGTCTGCATGTGCATCATGCAAGCATCAGAGGAAGAAGTGCAGCGACGAGTGTGTGTTGGCACCCCATTTTCCTGCAGAAAAGAATCAGGATTTCCAAGCTGTGCACAAAGTGTTCGGTGTGAGCAACGTGACGAAGATAATCAGAAGTCTCAACAATGAAGGAGATAGGAAAAGAGCCATTGATTCAGTGGTTTGGGAAGCTCTTTGTTGGCAAAGAGACCCGGTGTTGGGTCCTTATGGGGAGTATATGAGAGTGTGTCATGAGCTCATGTTCTACAAAACTACCCAAAACCAAATTCAAGGACCAACACAAACTAATATGCTGTACAAATCAGTACCCAATTTGGTTAGATGGAATAGTTCTAACAATGGGACTTGTAATACTAACAATAACAATGCATTGAATTACAGTTCTATGGTAGATTCAAGCAATAATTACCCTTTGCATGCCATGCATGCTACAGACAAAGTACTTCGACAAGAAAGAGATGTAGGTTCTGTTGTCGTTGTGCCTCAGCAGCATCCCATCATCAGTGGTTTTAACCAGCAGTACTATGTTCCAGGTAAGTAAGCACTCAGATTGCACCAGTTTCGTTATTAAATAATAATACATTCATTATTTAAACTGTTTGCATATCTAATGAAAGTGACGACATTTCTTGTGAATCTATTCAGTTTGATGAATAATAGTCTTAGCAACTAAGCTCTCTTAAAATGAAAATGAGTTGGATTTGAGAATTTTAGAATTGAAAAAGTACTTTTTCTTTGTGAACAAGGCGATTTCAGGATTTTAGAATTCTTACAAGTTTCACATAAATTGTTATACATCTTTAATCCTCTCCAAGTATTTCTCATCTTTATTTCCCGGGTATTTATAATCCACTCCGGAGTTAGTTTTTCTAGTGTTGTCTCCTTTCTCCGGAGTTAGTTTTTCTAGTGTTGTCTCCTTTCTCTCTCTCTATTAGTATTTTCATATTTATATTTTATAGTATTTTCTCTATAATATGTCTAAGTTTTCCCTCTTCTAAAAAAAAAAAGTGGATAAATTACCAATTGAGAAGTTGATTGCTGATAGTAAACACTAAGATGGAATAGATAGATAAGAATCAAATGAATAAATTGATCTATATAACAAACATTGTATGGTCAATGTTTCTGTCATGTATTCAGTATATTGAATTCAAAGTCTAGTTGCATCAATTGAAAAAATAAATAAAAAATAAAAATAAAAAAGCTATGGGGACTAATATTCTTTTATGCTACTAGTATGCAATGCAATTAGTAGGACTGTTGAGTGCGGTCTGTTTTTTCACTTCTATTTTCTTTTCATCTCCCTTTGTTCAAAACCTTGAAATTTCGTTTATGATTGAGGAATTTAATCAATAGGTAATTTTTTGTTTCTATTTTTTGTAGGTCAATGTGGTTCAGTTGATGCAAAGTCTGTAGAGAGCACATTATGGGAAGGAGGCTCTTGAATATCCGCAGTGCTTCTTTGTTTCTCTTACAGTGTTTTTTTTTTTTTCTTTTTTTTCTTTTACTTCAGATTATTGATACAAAATTTACACCAATTAGTTCTATGATATGTTTTTGGGATAGGTTTTGATTTCTAAAGTTGAAATGAATTATCATTATCAATGTACTAAATATCATATTTATTCAAAAAATGAGAAAAAAAAAAAAAAAAAAAAAAAAAAAAACACATCAGTTTTCTTTTTTCTTCTTCTTTTCATAGGCAAACGAGTAATGTAAAAAGAAAAAGATATGGGAATGAAACAAACTCCAGAACAATATTAGATATGTGTATATTTTATAATTTGCCTTTACACTTGCCTTACCCAATACAATTCTTGAACCCAACTTGCAGAATTTCTATTTTACATAATGAAAGTATCTCCTTCCACAGTGCTTCACAGAATACACATTGATTGTGCCTGATATTATCATTGGAGTGAAGTTGTCATAAGTAGATATATATATATATATTTTTGGGCAAGTAAAGTTGTTATAAGTTTTATTTTAGGAATTCCCCATGTTACTGATGTTGGGCTCCTTCATGACAACCCTTAGCCACATACTTATTAGAATGGGGCACATGAGGGTCCCAGTGGTCATCTCTTAATAGTATCCATTTTCATTCTGTAAGATTTTCATTCAACACAATGTGCAGACTGCTATTATAGATATGTTCTAAAAGCAACAATTATTTTTATTTTTATATCAATTCTATACATAACACCATCTGACCCAAGGAGTATGTTTACATATGAAGCCCAGTGTGTCTCCTCATAGAGGATTTACTTCAATTCAGAAGCCTTTTCATACCCCAAACACCCTTCTGATTCAGGATTAATTGGATATAGCATCCCATTCGACTTCTCTGCTACTTGGTGCTTGAATTCTGAACCAGTCCAAAGGAAAGATCACAAAATTTACTACTGCGTAACTAGAATGAATATTTGAATACTAACTAAAGTCCAGCAGAATTGTTAGGTCAACTTAGTTCTAACTCTTGTTGAAAATTTTGTCCAATAATTCCTTGCAATATCAGGCCAAAAAAGCCTACCAGAGATTAATGATAGTCCAAAACATATTATTGGAAGTTTACCAATTTCTATATCATGAATAAAAACTGACATTGACACCACTAAGGATAAATAGGTCATCCCACTTTGAAGACAATTAAGGTGAAATGTGAAATTATTATATGCAAAATTGCAGAGAAAGCTTCATGAAGTAGGTAAGGAGATATAGGATCTACTCACCTAAGCCCTCTAGATTGTTAATATATATATGTGTGTGTGTGTGTGCGTATAATATATATATACACACACAGCACCATTTAAGCTCACTGAAAATGTAGCAGTAGTTACACACTGTAATATTATCAGGGAAATAACAGGTTGTTAATATATATATCCATGAAAAAAAATAAATAAAATCTAGCTCACAATATAATAGGATTTCATAAGATCAACATTTATATAGAGCACCAGGAGAGCCTATGTCCCAATCTTAGTTCCTCACATGCTGTTGTCTTAAGGGGATATTGTCAACTATGCTTCTTTCTTTCAGAAAGGCAGCCTGTTTGAATTAATGATAGACAGCAATATATATATATATATATATATATATATATATATATAGATTTAGGTTTGCTTTTCGTAAAACGAAAAATTTGGCAAAAATTTTGTAGGTGGTGGTTTATTTATTTATTATTTTTACCTGAAAGAACTTTGTAGGCATTGTTACATCAAGGCATGCGTCTGAATTTTTTTGAAAACTTGGATTTTGCACTTTTGATGCCAATGCGCAATGGCTATTAAATTCCTTTACTTCAGCATCCAACCTCATTCAAAGAAAAATTCAGTTGCTAGCATACCGTCACCACTCACCAACCATTTTTTCTGTCAAGTATGGCTCAGCCAAGAAGCATGAGCTCCCCTGCTCAAGCCTTATTGTATTAGTTTCGTAAAGCCAAGCTTTGGCTCTCAAAAGACTAGAGAAATGGATTACTTGGTACAGTTTGAATTTACTATCATATTTTTACTGATTATTAGAGCTCAATAGATGCTTAAAGATATTGACAAATTCGTTCTTCGCATCACTATACTTCTCCAACCCCGTCTGTCCTGAAAATTAATCAGATTTTGTTGTCTGTTGTAATGTAGTTTACCCTTTCCCAAAAAAGGAGAAGTTGTGATCTCCCATATATTAACCATTTTGGCCTTAGTTTCTACCTGTAATATGCTACCTTTGCAGCACTTATTTTAACAAAGGCCAGAATAATATATTTTTCTTCTGCTATAAGCTCACTGTTTTGGGGATTATTATATGTATGCTTTTGAATCTTCTTCAATTTAATTATCCCTAGCTTTGATCAGCAGTTCAAGAAGAGATATTACTAATTAGTCTTTTATAAAAATCTTTGAGATCAGGTCTTAAACCTTTCCAGTTTTTTTGATATTGGGTTACCTTTGAAAGACTGATTCTATTAATTAGTACTGCTCCATAACTAAACTGAACAGTGTATGGTTCTTAAGGTGTGCCGTTTATCATCGTCAGCTCAAAATGCAATTTATTTGTTTGTTTTAGTGAGGTAAAGGCGTAAAGCAAACACACATGCACCGCATGCACATTGCCCCACTTGGGACTCCAACCCTCACGTTTTTGGGAGGAGAGGTGGTACTACCCAAGCCAATGACCTAATGGTCAATTGCAAGCCAATGATGCAAATACTCAATTTTGTAAAATATTCAACTTAAAGTGGTAAAATGAAAGTAGTCAGTGGATTGAGATTTTTAAAATATCGAATCTAGTTCAAAGGTCTTGGTTATCTATTGGAAATTGGAAGTCATGCAATTTCGGAGGACTGAAAATTCCTCATAATCTTGGATGAGTTTAGTGGAGGTGATGAACTTCCTAGTCTTCATGATATTTCGGTAGCTAATGGTGATTGGACATAGTGTAACAAGCAGAGAAAATTTTGGTGTATTTGTGCCAAACTTAATAGCCTCAAAGTTTGTGGGCCTTGTGGCTGAAACTTTCCAGCATACCAAGATTATGGCATGATAGTTAACTGCCTCTTAAATGCAGCTTCAGGTCCAAAACCTTTCTAGTTCGTAAAGTTCCAAAACCTTTCTAGTTCGTAAAGGTTTGTGCCATGAGAAACACATTGAAGGCATTACTGAAAGGACATGAAGTATTTCTAGCTGAGGTAATTGTTGACTTTTGCTCTGATACCACTTTCTGACTTTACTCTGATACCAATTTGTCGGCTTTTACTCTGATACCACTTTCTGGTTTTACTCTGATACTACTTTGTTGGAAATAGTAGCCTAGATACACACAACACTCAATAATATTTTGGAAAAGAATGATATGAAGGAATACTTTTATTTCACTTCTTCCCTAATAAAATTGCTAAAGTACATGATTATATAGGCATTGAGAACACATATCTATCAATTACATATATATGCTCATAACTCTCATCTCTCCCACTAACATAATCTTCAATAGGCATAATTCCCACTACTCACTAACATGACCATTACTAGTTATAACTCTCATGCCTCCCACTATCTCCAATAAAAACTCACATAAATATAAAATTAAACACCAAATAAAAAACACATATTTAAAAATATAATCAAGTTTAATTTATAATGTGTAATTCCTTCAACAAATTTCTCAACCAAATTGTTTGACAAACACATAAAGTGGCTGCAACATATTCCGCTTTACAAGTTGAGAGGATGACAATGGGTTGCTTTTTTGAATACCATGTAAAAGCAGTATTTTCCATGAAAAAACAATAGCCAGAAGTACTTTTTCTATCATCCAAGTCTCCGGCCCAATCGCTATCACAATAACCCATGAGCTTGAAATCTTTAGAAAATTAATAGAATAACCCAAAATCAAGTGTACCTTTGATTTAACAAAGAATCCTCTTAGCCGCCTTGAAATGAGTTATGGTGGGTCTTTCCATAAACTGACTAACAAGCCCAATTGCAAATAATATGTCCGGCCTTGTGCATATTAAGTATCTTAAGCTTCCAACATGACTTTTGAAAAATGTTGGATCCATCGTCTCTCTATCTTCATCTCTTGACAATTTAATTCTGACTTCTATAGGCATGTTCACCAATTTATAATCTTCCATCTTAAATTTCTTGAGAATTTCCTTAGCATAGCCTTCTTGGTGAATAAAAATTACATCCTTCATTTGCTTGACCTCAATGCCAAGATAATAAGCCATGATGCCAATATCTATCATGTTGAACTCTCGAGCCATAATCTTCATGAAATCTTCAAAACATTTTTGGATTGCTACCTGTGAAGATTAAATCATCCACATACAAGCAAACAAAAAACATATCTCCATTCTCACTTATTTTGGAGTAACGAGCATGTTCATATGGGCACTTTGAAAAATTATTGTCTTGAAAATATTTGTCAATCCACTTATTCCACGCCCTTGGTACTTGCTTCAAGCCATATAAAGCCTTGTTGAATTTCAAGACTTTGTTTTCTTGCCCCTTTACAACATAATCCATGGGTTGTTGAATATACACCTCTTCTTCAAGAAACCCATTCAAGAAAGCTGATTTCACATCCATTTGGTAGATTCTCCAATTGTTTTGGGCTACCAAAGAAATTAACAATCTAATTGTTTCCAAACAAGCTATGGGTGCAGATACTTCATAGTTAATTCCAGGCTTTTGGTTGTACTCCTTAGTGACCAATCTTGCTTTATATTTTTCAACTTCACCATTTACATTCTTTTTTGCTTTATGCACCAATTTGACACCAATTACATTTTGCTCTTTTGGAAGTGTAGCAAGCTCCCATGTGTTATTCTTCTCTATAGATTTAATTTCTTCATCCATAGCATTTCTCCATTTTTTGTCTTGTGCTGCCTCTTCAAATCCAACAGGTTCACAATCCGCAAAGAGACAAAAAAGTGTTAGATCAC